TATTACTTAGCCATTAAAAAGGATGGCATCTTGCCATTCACAACAACGTGCCTGGAACTAGAGGGTATTATGCTAAGTGAAATAAGTCAGGTAAACACAAATAGCATATGATCTCATTTATCTGTGGAATCTAAAAAACAAATGAACAAACAAGCAGAAATACACTCACAAAAATAGAGACCTGGTGGTTGCCCGAGCAGAGGGGGGTGCGAGGATGGGTGAAAGAGGTGAAGGAGATTAAGAGCTGCACACTCACACTCCCAGGAACAAAATAAGTAAGTCACAGGGATAAAGAACACAGCATAGAGAATACAGTCAATAATACTGTAATAATTTTGTGTCTGTGACAGATGGTGACCACTTAACCTTAGTGAGCATTTTGTAATGTACGTAACTGTCAAATCAGCATGTTATATATCCACTATGTTATACACCTAATGTAATGTTGTAGGTCAACTATATACTTCAATTATGGGGCGCCTGGGTGGCGCAGTCGGTTAGGCGTCTGACTTCAGCCAGGTCACGATCTCGCGGTCCGTGAGTTCGAGCCCCGCGTCGGGCTCTGGGCTGATGGCTCGGAGCCTGGAGCCTGTTTCCGATTCTGTGTCTCCCTCTCTCTCTGCCCCTCCCCCGTTCATGCTCTGTCTCTGTCCCAAAAAATAAAAAACGTTGAAAAAAAAAAATTTAAAAATACCCCACACGTTTCATCTGTATTTTCCAGTTGAGCTCTAACAAGCATGTGTTAACAATTCTAAAATCTCCTGTTACCTGTTTTTATACTCCACATTTCATTTCTGTTTTAGTTCAGATGAACATTCTCTCTTCTTGATTAAAATGACTGGAAGTCTGTTTTATGTTGTCATTGTTTTTCAGAGACGCATTTCTTTGATGTTCTCTCTAATAAATTGCTCTCCTAATTCACTGTCTCCTCTTAGTTTGTCCTTTCTTTATCCTACGAAGATATCTAATAAGATTGCCTTATTCTTTTTTCTAACTTCGTTAAATGAATCTTTTATTTCATTTGCTTTCTTTTATAAAAAAGGAAAGAATTTGAAGCTACGCATATCTTAACAATAGCCTATAATTTTTGATACGTAGTGTTATTTTCTTAAATGTCATATAATCGAGAATTTGTCTCATCCTTGTTCTGGGTTCCCGAGATAGAGCTTTTAAACCCCTGGAGATTCCTGAGTGGTTAAGTGTGTCTTTCTTATTCATGAGGGGTCACTGGACCACACCCGAGTTTATGCTAAGATGACTTGGATGGGGACCGGTCATGTTGGTAAGACCCATCGTGTGATTAGAGGGCCGCTCGAGGCTTTGGGCCACGTGTTATCAGCCCAACACCCCCCCCCCCCACCTCTGGGGGAAGGGAGATTGAGTTCAATCATGTGGCCAATGAGTCCATCAGTCACACATATGCAATGAAATCTCAGTAAACACCGAACACTGAAGCTCTGCTGAGCATCCTGGTTGCTGAGCATATTGACGTGTTTGGGGGGGATGATGCGACCTGATTCCACACGGAGAGGGCACAGAACCTCTCGCGGTGTGTTTCTCCACTGACTGGTCTTGATCTGTATCCTTTAGAATAAACTGTAATAATAAGTATAGCAGTTTCCTGAGTTCTGTGAGTCTGGTGAACTGTTGAACCTGAAGGAGGTCGCAGGAGCACCTTTGGATTTGTAGCCAGATGGTCAGAAGTGCAAGTAGCCTAAGGACTCCCAAACCTGCAGCTGGCAAAGGACACGAGAGTAGTCTTGTTGGGGACTGTGCCCCACACCTGTGGAGTGGGTACTAACTCTGGGTGGTTAGGGTCAGAATTGCACTGCAGTCAATACATTACTTAATGATTTACTTTTTTAAGAAAGAATATAATTTAATCATTCGCTCTAGCAAGTTGATATTCTTTCCACCTTCAGATGTAAGTCAAACCAGTCACTTACGGAGTGTTTTGGCCTTTTTGTTGTTGCTGCTGAGATAGGGAGCAGAGGTGTAACCAACCCGCCAACACATAATCCAATGGTCATTTCGCCAGTTATGAGTCTACTCAAACAAGTCACTGGTTTCAACTTCTTTCTAAATATAGATTTTTTTTAACCCCGTGTGTATGGGTGCTAATTTGATGGTGAGAGGTAGAAATAGAGTTACTGGATAGGAGGTTAGCATATAAAATGGCTAATACAATAAAATAGTAATATTCTCTTGTGAGGCCAAAGAAGACCATGTCTGGAAAGTAGATGAAAGAAATATTCTATTAAAATTGCTCCTCTGCATGCATTATTCAGTGCTTCAGGATGAGAGTGCTTACACAGTTGGTACTTGGTTGGAATGGCAGAAGCCTCCAGAAAGGTGGGCCGACTAGGGTACCAAGAACTGTTTCTATTTTTAGGAGAGGTCTTTCTTAAATGAAAGTATGGTCAGAGTGAAAACTTCACAGCTATCGTGGCAAACACTCCTGAAATCAGGCATAGCACTATGGGAAAAGGTGCTACAGACGGGTCACTGGATGGGCCAAAGGGACCTTTCTGATCAGTCAATATTTTCTGAATGGGCCTTTTTCCCACGCTCTTACTCTGGAGGATTATATCTGAGATGCGTGGAAGCCCACTGCTAGGAATTCCCAAAGGCGAGAACATATTTAAAACTATGATTAACATGTTCAAGAGCAGAGATGAAAACCATGGGAGGAAAAATACACCCATTTTTCTCTGTTGAAGACGGAGAACTGCAACAGAGAACTGGAATGCATAAAAAAGAATCAAATGGTTATTTTAGGACTAAAAAGGTATACACCGCTTAAAGTGAGGACTTCAAAAGATGTGTTTAAAAGCAGATTAAACAAGCAAAAGGGTAAGAATGGTAAATTACAGAGCATGTTGACCAAAAAAAAAAAAGAAAACAAAAAACAAAAAAACCAAACTGAAGTATGGAAATTTAGAAGCCTGGGAAAATTCAGACAAGAACCAGAGAGACACATGGGATGCAATGAACGGCCTAAAATTTGTGTGATTCAAGTTCTAGAAGGAGAGGAGTGAGGTCAGGGAAAAAGCAATCGTGAAGGGAGAGTAACAGAATTTTCCAAAACTGATGAAAGTATCAACCAAAGATTCAAAGAACTGTATGAACCCCAAGCACAATAAATACAAAGACAACCACACTAGGGCACATCATAAACTGCTGAAAATCAAATCAAAAGAGAAATTCATAACAACAGCTGCGGGTTGGGGCAGGAAACATACTGCTTTCAAAGGAGCACCAATAGCACGGGCAGCTGATTTCACAGAGGGAACAATGGAAGCCATAAGACGATGGAATGAAACTTTAAAAATGCCAAAATAAAATGTCCAAATTAGAATTCTATGCCCAGGGAAAGTATTTCCAAAATGAAAGGAGATAAAACTCACCAAAATTTATACATTAAATAGGTGCAATTTTTTGGTATATCTTTTCCTCAATAAAGCTTTAAACATTTTAAAGGAGAATAAATACATTTCTCAGCCAACAAAAGAAACTGAGAAGATTCAACACCAGGAATCATGAACTAAAAGAAAGAGTTCTGGGGCGCCTGGGAGGCTCAGTCAGTTGAGCGTCCAACTTCGGCTCAGGTCATGATTTCATAGTTTGTGAGTTCGAGCCCCGCGTCGGGCTCTGTGCTGATAGCTCGGAGCCTGGAGCCTGCTTCAGATTCTGTGTCTCCCCGTCTCTGCCCCTCCCCTGCTCATGCTCTGTCTCAGAAATAAATAAACATTAAAAAAAAAATTTTTTTTAAAAAGAGTTCTTCAGGCAGAAGAAAACAATCCCACAGGGAAATGTGATATTTCAGGAAGAAATAAGAAGGAAATATGTACGTAAATATAAATAAATATTGGCATATAAATTAATGACTTGTGGGGCTTAAAATGTGTGTAAAATTAAATTCATAGCAACAGTAACACAAAATATGGAAGGGTGTTAATGAGGTTAAAGCGATCTAAGGAGAGCATTCTTGGAAAAGTAGCAAAAATAATTGTTATATGGCTGTGACAAGTTAAAGATGCATGTTGTGATTTCCATGGTAACCACCAAAAGAAAAGCTACATGATACACTACAAACTAATAAAGAGAAAAATGGAATCATTAGGTTTTTCTTTCTGCCTATAAAATCCCAAATAATTTAAACGCTTTCAATAGCAAAGTATTCAAGACTCTCAATTTGTAAAACAGTTGAGTTCTACTAAGGTTGTATAACCAGATGCCTACTCCAACGTAATCTATTTCTTTTTTCTTTTGGTATCTGATTTAGAGTTTTCACAAAAGAGCAAATTCATAGGCTTAGACACAGAGTAAACACCAATTTTAGTAAGTATTTTATTTGAACATGTTAAAGCTTAACTTTGCAGCCACTTTGACTCATTAGTCACTGAAATCTAACAAGCTCCCACTGGCACTTATTTGTGGGTAGAAAGCATGAAACCAGAATGGTCAAGACATTCTAAAGCTATGAAAAAGAACCATGCATCCCATCGATCACTGCGTGTGCCTCCCAAACTCTGCTGTCCCACAACCCCGGTCCTTGGCATTTCTTTCGGCGCTGGGATTGTTGATTACTCTAATCCCGCGTCCCCTTCCTCTTTTCCCTTGACCCCTCACCTGTATAGGTCCACGAAGTGCTTCACTGCAGTGGTAAGGTCAGAGTAGTTCTGTAGGAGTTTTTTGGCTCGTGGTCCATCAGCTTCTTAATGTCCCCCAAGAGTCACACCCTCTGGTCCCAGGCAAAGCCTACAGAAGTCAATTCGATGGAAATGGCTGCCCTTCTGTCACCGCGTGAAATTCCAGTCCAAGCTGGAGTCAGGGTTGGGCTGAGTCCAGGTAAATACATCCCAGAGGTTGTGACTTGCCTGGTGCCAGCAACACATTTGGCCTAGCTTGGTAGCCAACAGAACATGTCATGCATATGAGCGATGACAACTGAGGGTGTAAATGAAGCAGTGGCGAGGGGAGGGGGCCCCTGGAGACAGTCAGTATTTCCTTGGTTTGAACTTCAGTGCCACACTGTTGATGCAAAACCTCTGCCCACTAGGCCCACGTCCATCAGGAAGCACGCGGCCAAGACGGGCTCCACACTGCACGGGAGAGAGGCCGCCATCATTTCCCCACCGAGACACAGTTCTTTACGTGAAACTAGACAGGTGAGCCCCACGTGGCCGCACCCCACATGGCCACCCCACCCTGGTGTCTGACATTTGTATGGGGGGAGGGAAGCCCATCACATCAGAATTTGATTAAGAAATGAAAGAAGACAGGGGCGCCTGGGTGGCTCAGGCAGTTAAGGGTCCGATTCTTGACTTTGGCTCAGGTCATGATCTCATGGCTCGTGAGTTCGAGCCCCGTGTCAGGCTCTGCGCTGGCAGCACGGAGCCTGCTGGGGATTCTCTCTCTCTCTCCCCCTCTCTCTCTGCCCCTCCTCTGCTCACTCTGTCTCTGTCTCTCTCTCTCTCTCCCTCCCTCTGCCCCATCTCTGGAAGGCCACAACCAGGAACGGCTACGTCAGAGAGTGGCTCAGGAAGGTTCTTTCTCTTCCCTGCAGTGCCCAGAATAATAGGAGAAGGATCTGAAGCAGCAAGTGTAGAAAAGTACGAAAATACTCCCGCGTCATAACACCAGCTATGCTCTTTGCAGCATCGGGGAAAACCAAAGAGACAAAACAAAAAAGCCCCACCTGCTTGCAGACAACCTTGGTGCGAGTTAATCCTAACGAGGTGTCCACGCCTCTCAGGATCCCCGCGTCCCTTTCATCGGAACCAGACGTCCCGTGAGCCTCAGAAAACGAAGGCCGTCCGGTGCCGGAGCAGTACTTTTTCTCGGAACCGGGTAAGACATTGGCCACGCGGCAACTGCTGAGATTGTTATGAACACACGAAGAGCATTGGATGCCCCAACTCATTTTTCTGATCCCCTCCCTCCTCTGCCAGACCTCCAGGCCAGTTAGGTGAACAATCAGTTCCGCAGGAACCCTGCCCTCTGCACTGTCGCTATTGAACACGTTGTCCCGTCCCCCGGAAAGGATCTCTTGTTCCTGGGATGCTGCCAGCTCCCCTCCCGATGTCCGACAGGGACCAAAAAACACTAGAGGCTTTGTGAACTGTGATGCCCATTAGGAAACACAGATCCAATCCAAGTGGTCTAAATGTGGAAAAGGGGGAAACGGAAATGAAACAGCAGTGGTCCGTGGAGGGCGTCACGGTCTGGGCCCAGCAGGGGGAGACCTGATGAAACGCATTTTCAGCAGCAGGACCTTCCGGTTACCCGGACACAGAAGCCTGACTGCCTCTGCCATTTCGCAGCTGTGTGACACTGGGCAGGCTATGTAACCTCTCCGGGCCCCATCTGTAGCATGGGGAGAATAACACCTACGTCATGGAGACGTTTGGAGGATTGAAGGAGATACTCTGTGG